CTTTCTACTTGAGCCCTTGGTATCAGCTCATTTTTTTCTCCAAATATTTTAACATTGTACATAATACATATTACTAACAATAAAATGTCCAAGCAGAGAAAAGACTTGTTAAGTGTGGTTCTTTGAATACACAGTGAGTCAGGGGCTACTTGTATTCTCCAGCTCAGTAAATGGTCAGCTTATTTTCGTCACTGTTCAGGACAATCTCAGGTGGCTCCTCCTATCTGTAGTAAATCTTGCTAGCTCTTCAAAATATGGCCAGACCACTCCTCACAGCTTCTACCCAAGACCAACTATCATTACTGTGGCTGGATTTTTAGCCTCCTAGTTTCTCTGCTTCCAACTTTTGCCTTCACAGTTTTCTACAGAGCAGCTAGTCACCTCTTCAAAACATTACATCTTTTAGTTTAAAAGCCTCAACAACTTCATAATAGGCTTGGGAAAAAGCTAAATTCCTTCCCATGGCCTATAAAGTTTCATAAGCCCCTATTATACTTTATGTGTCCCTTGCTTTATCTCATAGGACTAATGTCTCACCTCTCTTTTTTTCTAGTTCATGCAGTCTGGTATCCTTGTTCTTCTTCAACCTAGTTTGGTCTCACTTTCAGGTTTGTACTGTCTAGAATGTTCTTCCTCCATATCATCCCTACTGGAAACGTATAGGAGTTCTGGTGGTGCTGAGGTTAAACGTGCCTGGCTGTTCACCACAAGTTCAGTGGTTCAAGCCCACCAGCCACTGCACAAGAGAAAGATAAGGCTGTCTGCTTTCATAAAGATGTACGGCCTCTGAAACCTTCCAGGGCAGTTGTACTTTGTTCTATAGGGTTCCTGTGAGTCAGAACCGATTTGACAGTGTTGGGTTTGGTCCTTGTGGTTTGAGTAGGACCTTTCACATTCAGGCCCACCAATCCCTGAGGCAATATTCCTGCTTAGAGAAGCCAATGCACAGAGAGGACCATAGGGCCAGCCCCACCACGATACCTGACATCCCGCACTGACCCATAGCACTGT